GAGAGAGAGAGAGAGTACGTAAATGAAGTATTTTTACAGCAATAATGACAATAAAGCGATAAAAAAAAAAACATAAGATATGACAGTAAAAGATTTCACGTGGCGAAAATAATGCGTAACTCTCGCGTTCTCGTTAATGTTTCAGCGTGTCCGGGGGAGAATCGGAAGCTTCTGGTATTGTTGAATCCGAAATCGGGGCCCGGCAGGGGCAGGGAGACTTTCCAGAAGAGGATCCACCCAATCTTGTCGGAGGCGGAGAAGTCTTACGAGATTCAAATTACCAAGTGTCCTAATTATGCCCGCGAGTTCGTACGCACGAAAGATATTTATCAGTGGAGCGGTCTTCTAATGGTCGGTGGCGACGGGATCGTCTTCGAGGTTGTAAATGGGCTTTTCCAAAGGCCCGATTGGGAGAAGGCTCTGCGCGAATTGCCGCTCGGGGTGATACCATGCGGCTCCGGTAATGGCTTAGCAAAGTCCATTGCCTACGCTAAGAAGTAGGTCCTTCCATCTTCACTTTCCTCGATCCGTCCGATTATTCCGATTTTTTTTGTTTTTTTCCCCCCCCCCCCTCGCCCCATTATGAAATTACACGCAAATACACGTGAATATCTTCATTTGAGCTTCATCCGTGACGTGGAATTCACGTTCCATTATCGTTGTCGTGTTCCGTGAAACATCGATTCGTGTAAACACGATATCGATAAAGTTTGCGTGAAGAAGACCGAGTGATTATCACCCAATTACTCGAATTCGCATATCAGTATTAAGTGGATTTCTACAAAAAAATTATTTCCTTTTCCGTTTATTGAATAATCTATTAATATCTCTATAAAGTTATAGATTATGTAAGTTTAACAGCGGAACATTTCTAAATGTAAATCGAACAAAATTATATCGAACTTATATAGATTTTTTTTTTTTAGTAATCAAAAAATTCTTTTTTCAAAGAATTCTTTTTTCTTTCTCTTACTAATTAAAAAATTAAATTTACTCATATTCATAAGTCGAAGTCATTTGCGATAAAAACATAAACAAATATAGCAAATATATATTAATTTTAACAAATTAGAATTATATAGATTATTTAAAAAAAATTTTTATCAGCAAAATGTTATTCATCTTTTTGATTGTAATAACATTTTGGAAGATCTCAGAATTTATAAATTCCATCGATAAAAACGATGGAATCACCGCAATGTTCTAATATTCACTGAAAATGTCTGAAGGACTATTAGACAATTAGACAATACTATTAGACAAAAAATTATTATTATTCCAAAAATTATTGTTATTGGAGCACAAGAATGAGAGTAATCGTTTCTTGTATGCTGAACACAATTCCGTTTTTCAAATCATTGCTCTATCACGTTACATTTCGAAGTAAGTAAGCGCAAGAATTATGAGAAACGATTACGATTCTCGTTCTTGTGCTCGGAAAAACACGATTTTGCAATTTACACTTGGCAACGTCCCCTTGTAAGGATAAAATAATATGTTTCAGAGAACCGTACGATCGCAATCCCTTGCTTATCAGCGCGTTATCGGCGGTTAAGTGCAAAAGGACGCCGATGGATCTCGTCCGTGTGGAAACTAGGAATCAGATACTTTTCTCATTTCTGTCGGTGGGTTGGGGTCTTCTCGCCGACATTGACATCGAAAGTGAACGACTGCGCGCCATCGGAGGACAAAGATTTACCGTATGGAGCGTAGCGCGCCTAATAGGATTACGAACGTATAAGGGAAAAGTGTCGTATTTACCTTGCAACAAGGAAAGTATGGAAAACGGCAATATATATCACAAGGAATATGCCGCGGAGAATATATTGTCGCATTCGAGGAGTTACGGCGACGAATTGGACAGGTAATACTCCTGCGTAACGGATAGCAATGGATTTTTTAATGTAACGACGGGTAATTGTGCGTGTATTAATGCCAGTTCGCCGACATGCCACGTGCCAGTTATTATCAAAGACGATTTCAAAATACGCGAAATACAAGAATTCCACTTGTTTCCAATTTCTCTTCATTCAATTTGTAAAATTCGTATATTTAACGACTTGACAATATAGAGAAATTGTCGAAAGCCGTGTTAAAATTAAAATATGTATTCATCAAGTTCAATAACTTGTCTATTTTCGATTTTCGGAAATATTTTCAATGACTTCGTGCAAATTCTACATACTAAGCGTAATAAAGAAAACGATATCGTAATGCCGTTCTCTTCTGTTGTTTACCAAGAATTTATTTACAAGAAAAAAATAATGCGTAGGTGTTGTGTCGAGCCTGAATCAGAACCGAAGAACTTCTACAATACTTTTGGTGAATCATCCAACGATTTAAACGGCTGCGATGATAACGACGTGATAACGGAGAATTTGGCTCTCGAGACGCAAGACGAGAGGAGACAAAGACTTGACAGTTTCTATTCCGCAACATCGGCGAAGTCGACTTACTTTAGCACAGGTTCAGCCTCGAGCTATCACAGTATGGACGATGACGATAGCACGGAAATTGGTATGCTATTAAAATTAAACCGTGCACCTCTCTTGAATTTATAACAACCATACTGATAAATTTGATTCGTATCGTTAAGGTACAGAAAACATCTGTAACAATCAAGTCATGTACGGGCCGTCGTCTACGCTTCCAGCACTAACAACGCAACTCTCAAATTGCTGGACGACAATTCAAGGTGAGGCTAATCGCTTAAATAACTAACGTTTCGAACTTTGAATTTTTTAAAATTTTTAACAGTTTTTTTTCTATACATACTTTGGTTAAATCTTTTTCATCGAAATATTTAGAAATTATACATTATCTAGAAAAAACATTTTAATTTTAATATTTATTAATACGATTCGTAAGGCTCGCAAGAGACGAGTTCAAAGACATGTATTTGTAATTGTCATATAATATGGTGCAAAGGTTGCCGCGTAATGCATCACTTATTAACCCTTTAACTCCAGTTAAATTCGAAGTAACGTCACGTACCATTTAATAAAACGCCGAATGTAGCGTATTGCAATTGAAAAATATTTATAACATGTGGCAATATTTAGATGCGATGTTCATATACAGGCTCTCTCAGAATTCGCACATATGATGAACGCATGATGAAGTATGGTACTCTATGCTAGAAGAAACAATCCGTCTCTCTGGCTAAATTGTATTCAAGCAGTAGTTTTTTAATAAAAAACCAATTTAAAGCCAAGAAGCGGTTTACATTGCGCACGAATCAGAAGCAGTGTATATTGGACGTTATTTTATTTGTCTAAGGATTTTATAACGATTATGCGTGTGATATCTAACTCGTTATTCTGATATCGCTATTTTGAATATATTAATAAAAGAAAATTTCCTAATTGACAATATCCGATAGCTCGGAGTGGTAATGATTAGAAGTAAAGTAGATTAAATTTAAAATATTGATCCAATTTATACTAAAGATGTTCATGGATCTAAAAATGAGCTATTAAAAGTTTCAAAACGTATGAAATTAGAATGGCTCGAAATTCGCCATTCTATTTTTATATTTGTTCTGCAAATAAAACTTTCTTATATAAGTTTTCAGAATTATTAGTATACGTTATTCAAATTACTTTCAGCCATTATGCTTCAGAGATATCAATTAATTAATAATTAGAAAAACTTTCTTTTATTTTTAAATGAACTATTTTTAAAATAAATTAGAAATAATATAAATATTTAGACATTATACATAATTGTTATAAAATCTTTAGAAAAATAGTAAAATAGTATATGTCTATCCTAAGCCGCTTCTCCCAATTTATGCAATTTAGACAGCTCATTCATTAGCTTTAAATTGCTCTCATTTAAAAACTATTATTCGGACGCAATTCTGCCACAGGAACAAGTCACTTCTTCCAACACAGAGTTACACTGTTCTGTGCGCCTAATTTCTGAGACATTCTACATATGATACATTCGAAAAATAAGATTGTAGAATTATTGTAGTATTTTTTTTTTAATAAGATTCAAAGACGAATTATATAATTCATATATACAGAATATATTATATTTAATATTTCAGGAGAATTCATAATGGTACATGCAGCCTATCAAACGCATTTGGGACAGGATTATTTTTTTGCGCCACGTGCTACATTAGCGGATGGAGTTATTTGGCTTTTAATAGTTAAAGCCGGCATTACACGGGCCAATCTAGTGCAAGTAAGTTATGTTAAAAAGCAGCATGAAGGAGGAGAAAGAAAATAGTATACAGCTTATACAGCCGGTGCTTACGGTTCGATTATTAGTTTTTACTAGGTCTGAGTAGCGGGACTCATATCGCTTGTCCTGGCGTTGATATGATACCTGTGAAGGCATTCCGGATAGAACCTATGGAAGGAGCGAGTGGACATATAACTGTAGATGGCGAAGAAGTTGATTACGGACCGTTGCAAGCTGAGATATTCTCTTCCTTAGCGTCGGTGATGACGCCCTGACATAAGTGATAATTATGCCTAATTTCACAAATGATATCAACAACAAAATCAAATAATGTTCGAATATAAATCCCGACAAAGGGTTTGTTCTAGGTTAGCTTAGAGTAAATTAGTTATCGTAGTAACATCAAATTGTTAATAGATATTAATACTTACGAAGGTATTTCGGATTGTAAATTTTGAATGACAATCTATGTAGGCTGTTTAAAATTCAAATCTATTATCTTGTGATGCGCTCACGAAAAAGAATTCTTTTTCCTTTTCATAATGAAGAGGTCAATAAATAAATATATATATATATATAAAATTATTTATTAATCTAGGGTTGAACGGATTATATCTGTTGCATCTTAATAGATACATTCAGCTATTTTGTAAAGTTTTCTATCAGTTTGTACAGTGTATCTATACATGCAACATAATGATATTATTTGTGCTCACTATTAAATATGTAAACTATAATATTACGTGTAAGATACTATATTTTGTTATCACGTAAAATAAATTAATGAATTTGTTTTTTTATATATAAATATTTTGCGAGTTACTAACCAACTGCATCAGAAAATTGTAAACTTTATTATCACATTTTTTAATATATTTATATCTTACATCTCTAATATGCAAAACGATATTGCGTTGTTTACGATTTGATATGTGTGCTGCATAAATAAAATAGCGTTTTAACAATGAGTAACACCGCAGCAATCGATTTGATTACATATCAGATATTTGTTAATTTTGTTTGTAAATAAAAAGAACGATGATACATTGAAATTATGAATTATAAGATTACAACGAAATTAATTACGTATGATGTACAAATCATAACTTAAAACAGTTGTTGAGATTTAGTTACCAGTTCTCCTAATTATATCTCCCCTTTCATTAAAATTGTTTTCTATGCGTAATTATTATATTTAATAAATGCAATTTAGATTGAAAGAAAATTGTTTTATTGAACTGAGCCTTTTTCCTTCGTTTCTGAATCTTTATCTTATCATTCACATAATCTCAATTCAACGTTATGTATGGAAATTAATTTTTTGTCCATAATTTTCATGACAAAAATTACTGTGACACAAAATTAAAAAAATTTGAGATCGTTTTGTTATGTTACTAAATATATATGATCACATATATTCACGAGCCCGGAATGCTGCATCGCTAATTTGCAAGCCTGATCTCATCCATTCATGAATAATTAATTCTGAACATGACAAATCTCAATGAAAGTGGTGATTAAAATGAAAATAATTTTTTTCTCGAGTGCAATCAATCTTCATCTAAACACGCCGTAATTCATCGAGTGATTAGGTTTCATTCTTTCTATTTGTTTATATTATAAATAATACAAAATCGAATGTTTTCGAAAACACAATCCATAACGCACGCGTTATGCGGATTTATTTCGGTATTAATATTCATAAAAAGAGATTTGGGTAACGAAAGGCAAAATATATTGCCGTTGTTAAGTCTACACGTATCGTTTATTATTCTCTGTTTACAACAGCGAGCCCGTGATCATAGGTCATCGATCTCGATGATCGATCTCGTCCTTTCTTCTCGCTTTAAACTTCCTTTTGTACGTGGATCTCCGCATGCGCGTTACTCGAGTCGATGACGATGAAACGGATGAAGTGTGAAAAAAAAATGAATAATGAAGAAATTCATGGATCAGTCTCTTTACACAAGCTGAGTAAAATAACAATGAACACGGAAAGCACGGGTTCCCCAACTGTTTCCCCAACAGACGAGTGCCATCGTGCTGCGTAATAATAAAAAATTGACGCGCGAATTTCGCAGTTTGGCGGGTAGCAACAACAGAGCAGCGTACAAGCTGTTGATGACAGCTCGAAAAAGAAAAAAGCGTTTCGTTAAGATAATCTTAAATAAAACTATTTATATCCGTGTATCCGTTACGCATCAGAAACCACTGCCGTTATCGCTTGTATCGTTATATATAGACATTTTTTTTCTCCAAGTAAAAATTTCGTGATCTTCTCTTGATTAAAAAAAAAAAAGTGATGAATCAAAATTTAAATTTTGAATTGAATATCATTTTTATTTTAATTTATAATGCTAAATGAACTTTTAAAACTTTAAAAATTTAATTTTTTAAATTTTAAAATTATTCAAAGGAATCCGATCAATTGAGCAAACGACGATGATTCTGAAGCATTTTTGTATACATATTTGCGTGTGTGTGTGTGTGTGTGTGTGTGTGTGTGTTATATATATATATATATACTATATATATATTA